CAGGTATACTGGCCACTGGGCTGGAAAAGCAAAAGTCTTATTTTTTCTGAAATATCGCAGCTCAAATATCGTATAATTTCAGTAGGTATGAAATCTCTTGGCTTGAAGCTATAAATTTTTGCTTGATTGAAAAAATTGCTGTTTGCAATTTGAAAATATGTTGGGTCATAAAATTGTCAACTACCACAATTCACAGTATATATGCTTCAATGCTCCCGCCTCCTGCCAAAATAACATGCAGAACGTAATAATGAGTCAACCCAAAATGTTTCCTTGAAGATCACATAGTTTCTTCTGTCATGTCAGAGGGGTTAGACTGCATCAGCTTTATCACTTTACTTGTTCAGTTGCTGCTTAAATGAAGACAAATGTTAGTGACTGTTCTTAGGGTGAAATTAGATATGTGGGGTTACACATGCATGAAACTTTGTAAATAATAAGTCAATGGCTACTAAATGGCTTTTCACAGCCAAGATATGGAATTCATGGCTCAAAGAAATAGAATCATGGCTAGCAAAGCCATAGAACCATGGCTCAAAAAATCCAGTTGTGACTTGCCAAGTAGACATATTCCATGCCTGTCCACTGTCCAGGCTCCAGCCATCCAGGTCACTGTGGAATTTTGGATAGGTAATATATTGTCACATTTATTTGAAAAAATGAATCAGAAGCCCATCAGTTGAGTCTCCCACTGCTATGGACAGTGGTGCAGAAAGTGGGTGAATATCTGAAGTTCTTTGGTGATGCATTGGGTACTGATCAAATTTATGCCTTCAGAAGATCTTGCTGACACATTTGAACTGAAATTATTGCATTTTAGATATATGTAAATCTTTGTCAAAACTAACCACGGAAGTTGGAAGAGGAGATCTATTGTTTTTAAATTTCTGGTTGCTGGTTATTAAGATGAGGCTGTAAAGCAAATCACAATCTACAATTTGGTGATTTTGGTTGCAATGCAATTATCTACTGCCATATCTGGGGTGTTAAAAATACATTCATCAAAGTTGGTTTTGTTAAATTATTGATGAGACTTATGTTTGCAAAGCATTTTGAAGACTGCTGGCAATGCGGCAACATATCATGTGTACTGTTGTTGACTTTTTTGGTCCACAAATGCACAAATTGGCAATGCATTCACCAAACTCTGTCCTTAAATTCTCAGATTGGCTGTAATTATCAGTCTTGGCAAGGGACTCCCGGTTGTGGACCCCTTTTTGATGTGGTAGTGACAGGACTCCAAGAGACTAGACTTCTGACCAAATACTGACCTAAGTTAGGAATTCATATAAATAATTTAATTTTTGATCAGAGATAAATAGTCATCTAAAATTCTTAGATTACATAAAAAATGGACTTGAAACAAATAATTTAAATTTTACTTATTTTGATTTTATATTTAGAATAAAGTATAACTTTACAAGTGTTAATTGTCAAAGTAGCAAGTCATTATTTTGTTAGAGTTGGCAGAGCAGTACAACACTTGTACGGCTGTCTCTTATACACATCTAGATGTGTATAAGAGACAGCCTCAGCTCTCGGCGGTGGAGACGCCCCAATGAGGAGACGCACTGCTGCCATCCGTCATCTGGGTCAATATTTGCACAGATGCAATATGGTGACCAGGCTGTGAAGTTCCTCAAAGTCTAATTACTATTTTTCTTTTTCTCCTCACTATTTACTGCCACACTGGTTGTGGAAGTGCTGAAAGAGAAATACAAAGTGAAATCAACAAGTGAAGTGGAGTGATCAAAATCTGAGTTGTGCTCAGGCTGGGAGGTGTGCTACCTGCATACCCGAAGTCTTCAAATCAAATTAAAAAAAAAAAAAACACGGATTTCAAAGTAAACAAGGAGTGATGCTGGACTGCTGGAGTGCTGGTCCATTTCGCAAGAGTGTGAATCAGTGAATGGTGGCTGCCTCATGCCTGTGTGGTGAAACGTATGTTATATCTTGAAAATTTGCCGCAGATCAATGAATGGATTGTTTGTTCAGTCACTTCAGTCCAGTGTAGTGAGAGATCTAATTGATTATGTTATATTATAAGATTATAAATGTTGTTTTGTTTAATTTTCTTCATTGCGATTATGCGATATATCCAGAGAGCCTATGAGTATGAGGCAAAGACCAATCACCAAAGTAGTACTTGTAGTACTACTGTGTGTCTAAGAATATAAAAGCAAAGAAAAGTCCACAAAAATTCATATCTCTATAGAAAACGTTTCGGAGACCAGCTCCATCGTCAGTTCGTAGAATCTAGAATCATAGTGGCAAATCAGAGAGTTTTTTAGACTCTCCCTCAAGTTCATTTTTGAGTCCTATAAGTAGACCAGTAAAGTATCATGCATAGTGGCAAAGCAGAGAGTTTTTTAGACTCTCCCTCAAGTTCATTTTTGAGTCCTATAAGTAGACCAGCAATGTATCATGGATACCGTCATTATCATACTTAAGAAATTGGCTAAAATCTTGAATAAATGAGGATATTAAAAATGAACTGATTCTAAAAAATCTCTGGTTTGTCACTATGTCTAGAATGTAGAATCACAAATCAGAAGTCACAAATTAATACATTGAAAGCACAGAACAAAATTAAAAACCTAACGGTATTATTGCAGATTAACTACATCCAAAAAAAAGGGTGTTTTTTTTTTTTAATTATATGTTTTTTGGGGTGTAGATTACGAATCTGAAATCCATTTTTGGCGGTCGGCATCGGAAAACCGATTTTTTTCGCGACTTACTAACATGGGGGTTACGTAACTTACGTTACCCACTCACCTTTATTTACTAACATGGGGGTTACGTAACTTACGTTACCCACTCACCTTTATATAAAGGGTCGGATTGTTCATCGAAATTTTACAAAAAGCTCTTAGGTTGGGTTAAGTCAGCCAAGTTCCTTTTTTTAGATAGCATTTTGATCTAAAAGGAACCTGGGCGAACCAACCCAACCTGCGAGTTNAAATACCAGATTTAGGCATATATACCAGATAGAAAATATTCATACCAGACACCTTTTGAAAATACCAGATTTGTGAAATCTGGTATAGAAATATACCATCTGGCAATGCTGGTTCAGCGTTACTTGAAATCATCTACAGACGATGTTGCCATTCCATTCAGATGAAAACTGTGTCTAAATCAGAACTGTGTCGGACGGCTCCGCGGCCCGCGCCGAGTGCTGCGCGGCGCGGAATCGATGATCGTGATTTGCACGAACGCCTGCGCGAAAAAAATATAATTAGATTGATTTACGCGAGAAATTTCCCCGTTTATATACATCTTCCTGAGTGTGGGCCAAGCAGTGTGATGTCCCTGTTTCTGACAGTGACTTTAGGGTGTTAGCTTCCTTCTCCGGGACTTCCGATTTGCGCATTTTAGAATAGCTGTACATCTTTAAACTTAGGCCCAGTTTGAATTCAGCTGCTAGCTCCTATCCCCTTGAAATTGTTAATAGATAGTTTTTTTTGTTCCGTCTATTACCTGTAAATTTAGGTTTTTAATTTTGTTCTGTAACTTCTGTGCTTTCAATGTATTAATTTGTGACTTCTGATTTGTGATTCTAGATTCTATGAACTGACGATGGAGCTGGTCTCCGAAACGTTTTCTATAAAGATAGGGTAAACGCGGTATATTCCGTCACATTAAGGACGCATCAAGAAATGAAAAACTATAAAAAAATAACCGTATGCGTTACTCAAGTTCTGTTTGCTTTAGGTGACTCTCAAAACACCATAGTACACGTCGGCAATGATGAAACGTCACAAAATGTTGCCATTTTTATGTAAAAGCCTTTAGAATGCAAACCTACCAAATCCCTATATTCCGTCACTGTGTGTGGCAATATTCGGCACGTGGTGAGGCGTATTCCGTCTGCGCTTCAAATTCTACTGATACGTAATGCCGTCATCCACGTGTTCGAATTCCGTTTGCTGTGTGAGCTGTATTGGAATACAACAAGGCTTTGAATTAGAACACTGATGAATATTGAACACCAGGGTGGAATTCTAGAAATGGAAGTTCACTTATAAAAAAGCTTTCCACCCCAGATGGAATGCTTTCCTTAGATACAGTGCTCTGCCAAGTGCCAGGTGACTGACTATAAATGATAAAGAGGATCAAAAGTGGACAAACTGTTTCAATTGTACAGTACCTCAGATTTGTTGTAAAATTGTTTGATAGATATTTTCTATTTTTCTTTTATTTAATGGAATTTTTTTTAAATTATCCAGGCTTTTTGTTTGTAATGATCAAGTTTAAGTTGAGTATTTAGTTAACCAGTACTGTAGACATATACCGTCAACCGGGGCTACTCGGGACGGTTTTGAGCGTTTTTTGTTAATAACTTCTTACGATGAAACATTTCATAAACAAGTTTAGGCTCATTTTATAGCTCTTTGCGAGGGCTATCGAATGGCATCTTCAAAAAAATTCCATATGCTATTCGTAAGGTGCCAGAAGCAAAAAAAGAGTGTCCCGAGTAGCCCCGTCGAATGGGGCTACTCTGGACACTTGGAATAAAACTTCATTTTAAAATATTTGAAGCATGCAGAGGGTACTCATCCATTACTAACAGTACTCTGAAGTCCTCCTCTTTCATTGTAGACAATGTAGAGGTAGAATAAATGACATTTTCTGTGACTTTTACTAGTTTTTCCTTCATATTTTGAAGATGTTCATACTCGGAGCGTCAACGATGCTATCAGGGAGGCTGTTCCACATGTCGGTGACTCGAAGCGAGAAGAAATGTTGTCGCATGGACAGTGATCAGTGCAAAAGTTGAACATGAATAATTGACATGCTTTTTTAACTTATTTCAAATCGTGTTCTTATCCATTTGAAATGCGTAGGTAAAATATTGTACCTTGCCAGTCTCTCCAAAATGGGTTTCTTTCCAGTCTCTTTCAAATGGGGGAAATGTCATCCTTCTGTTTAAATGTAATCTGTTTTCCTTGACATGTTTTTAGTATGCATTTTACCTGCCTTGTATTTTATTACAGGAGACAACACCCAGAAACTTTGCAGTGCTTGTGGCAGTGAACTGCCTGGCCAGCACTGCACCAGTCAAGACAGGTACTTGCTGCTACCTATCCATTTGTCTGTATTTTTTACTGCTATTCTATAAATCAGTACTTACTGCTACCAATAGCCATGCTACCGTCGCTCCAGACACTTCCACTTTATTTTTACTCCATAAACTTAAGCACTCCGTTAAAAAGCTACCCATATGCCTTCTGTGCAACTATCCACAATTAGATAAAGATCATGATCCAATTAACTAATTATATACTAGCTCACTGCACAATTCTATAAAGTTCATTATCCAATTAACTACCGGCAATTATATACCGTACTAGTTCGCTACATAATTATATACAGTTCATTATCCGTTACTTTAAAAAATTCAGTTTCTTAATGATTGATCGTGACCCTAGGTATGCAGGGTACCAGGGGGCTCTCTTGTGCCTACTGGACAAGGGGGACGTGGCCTTCGTGAAGCACACATCCGTCACGCACGCCATCTCGGCGTCCACTGCCGCCCTCAACCTCACGTACGCCTTTTATGTGCCGCTTGAAACAAGATTTATCTGAACCCATTTCCTGCATGTCTGATATCAACCTATATTCAACTCAACATTATTCTGACAACTATAAACAAGTGAGCAATTTTATGCTCGAGTTGTGCAAGTATTCCATCTAAAGTGTATAAAGTACCTTACGTAAGCCTTTTATGTGCTGCTTGATACAAGATTTATCTGAACCCATTTCGTGCATGTCCAGTTTCAACCGATATTCAACTCAACATTATTCTGCCAACTCTAAATAAGTGAGAAACTTTATGTTTGAGTTGAGCGAGTATTTCATCTAAAGTGTATAAAGTATTACACTGACTGGCTGTCATTCCCCACCACTGACCCAGCCTTCATGTCCCAGGGTGGACGACTTCGAGCTGCTGTGCGTGGACGGTACAAGGGCGCCCCTGGCGAGCCACGCGACCTGCAACTGGGGACGCGTCCCTGCTGACACCATTGTGACGTCCTCGGCCCGCAGCAGCGACGCCCGTATTCTCCTGCAGCAGTTCCTGAAGGTGAAACAGACTGGTCCTGCTGCAGAAATTTCTGAAGAACTTAACTCTTTATATTCATAGCCAAGAACGCATTTCCCTAACGTATTAATATTATCACTAAATAATGATCATGAATGGCAAAAATTAATCGTCTTGTAAATTTTTTGCTTCCAATCCTTGTAGGATTCAATATTATTGGATTAATATATACAAAATTTTATACGTCAGCACGCAGCTAGTGGTCGTGCCATGTAAACATAAATGGCTTGAAATTCACTGTAGGCTGCTGGACTTCCTTTCAAACTAGCTACTTGCAAACCCAGCCTCTCTTCAACCCAGCCTCTTTTCACCCCATCTCCTCTCCACCCCATCTCCTCTCCACCCCATCTCCTCTTCTTCCCATCTCCTCTTCACCTCATCTCCTCTTCACCTCATCTGCTCTTCACCCCCTCTTCTCTTCCTCCCACCCCCTCTCCACCTCATCTCACCACCCCTCCACTCCCCCAGATCATGGTGGAGCTGTACGGCAAGAAGGATCCTAGCCTCCCTCACCGCTTCCACTTGTACGACTCCTCCCCGACGTACGGCGCTACCTACGACGCCCTGCTCTCCGTCAGTAACGAGCCCATCAAGCATGCATTTACCATTCATTTTCATAATTCTGTTATAAATAAATTTAATTCAAGTACTTATCATTTAGATCTATTTTGAATCGGAAATAACTCAATTATCAGTGGGCATGAAGGAATTCTGGCATGATAAAAAATGAACCGGTACACATGACACACGTCACGTGGCATGAATGGCATTTTAAGATGTGGAACAAGATTCTATGTTCAATTCAGCTGGCATTTTGGGAATGATAAGTGAATGATTAACCACTCCTTGAATGTCATCTCACTCGTTAGGAGTAATACCATGAATATTGCAGTGCTAATCACTGTTATGGTCACAACACATGGTTAGGAACTGAATAATGTATGATACTGAGCAAACTGAGTAATACTGAGTAAACTTTTGGGACTGAGTAATGTATGATTAACCACTCCTAGAATGCCATCTCACTCGATAGGAGTAATATCATGATCATTGTAGTACTAACCACTGTTATGGCCAAAACCATTTGTGTGGCCTTAACCATTACCGCCATGGTTGACAGGACGATACGATGAGTCTAGTGGAGGTGCCGCGCTCGCACCAGAACTTCAAGAAGTACCTCAGCGCCGACATCTTGCGCCACATCAACATCGTGCGCTCCTGCCCTGTCAGCAACATGACTTTGTGCGTCACCTCCAGGATCGAGTTCGCCAAGTGCCTCCAGATGAGGGTAAGTGGAGGGCAACCTTAACCCTCTGCGTCACCTCCAGGATCGAGTTCACATTACCTCCAGGATCGAGTTCGCCAAGTGACTCCAGATGAGGGTAAGTGGAGGGCAACCTTACCCTCTGCGTCACCTCCAGGATCGAGTTCGCCGAGTGCCTCCAGATGAGAGCGAGAATAATTTTACATGTGGGATCAGTTTGGGTGAACAAGAATTTACAGGGTAGGGTAAAATGCAACTCGTCCAAAGGTAAATTAAAAGGTCTTTTCACTCGACTTCTAGACCATAATATGCATCATTGCTGGCAGCAGTAATGATGCATCACTAATAATGACATGCTGATGTCACTGTCATTTCAGATGGCGTTGAATGCGCAGCTGCTGAAGCCTGAAGTGAAATGTCTGAATGGCGGTTCAAGCTACGAGTGCATGGCGGCCATCCACAACAGGTGCAGCCTTCAATTGTAGCATAATGTATTTTATGTGTGATATGCAGGATATGTTATCTACAGCATATATGATGAACACTAAATGACTTGATGCTATGATATGCAACAGATAACTTGTAATCATCATCACCAATCAGCAAAGGCTGCTAACTTACTCCGTGATTCTAGCAGCAGGCACCTCTTAAATAAAGGCCTAATCTCTGCCCATAATATAACTATTGATAACACTCACGTCTTGACGAAATATAACTCCCTCTTAAATAAAGGAATAATCTCTGCCCATAATATAACTATTGATAACACCCACGTCTTGACGAAGTACCCAATGAATACTTGAAGGGATGCTGACGTTGCCGTGCTGGAGGCGGGCGACGTGTACACTGCAGGGCTGACATTCGACCTCATCCCTATCATGGCCGAGCGCTACAACCTGGACGACTCCTACTACTACGTCGTCGCCGTCAGCAAGGAGGACGACATGACGACTGACGTCGTCTATCTCAGGAGTGAGTGACGTGGTCTGTCTCAGGAGTGAGTGACGTGGTCTATCTCAGGAGTGAGTGACGTGGTCTATCTCAGGAGTGAGTGACGTCGTCTATCTCAGGAGTGAGTAGTGACAGAATGATATGCAACCCTGTAACCCCAACACCCCCTCACTTTACACGCCCCTGTAACACTGTACCCAACACCCCCTCACTTTACACGCCCCTGTAACACTGACCCCAACACCCCCTCACTTTACACGCCCCTGTAACACTGTAACCCCAACACCCCCTCACTTTACACGCCCCTGTAACACTGTAACCCCAACACCCCCTCACTTTACACGCCCCTGTAACACTGTAACCCCAACACCCCCTCACTTTACACGCCCCTGTAACACTGTACCCCAACACTCACTCACTTTACACGCCCCTGTAACACTGTAACCCCAACACCTCCTCACTTTACACGCCCCTGTAACACTGTAACCCCAACACCCCCTCACTTTACACGCCCCTGTAACGCTGTAACCCCAACACCCCCCGTCCCGCAGACCGACGCACATGTCACCCGAGCGTGATGCACGGTGGGGGCTGGGTGCTGCCCCTGGACTACCTCCTCAACAACAACCTCATGCGGCCCTACGGGTGTAACTCCCTCAAGGCCGCCTCCCAATACTTCTCCAAGTCCTGCGCCCCTGGGGCCTTGAACAACCTCTACCGCGACCAGTACTATGACTCCGACTACCATCTCAACCTGTGCCACCTCTGCCATGGTACCGGATCTTCTTTCTGCGCCAGGGACCACACCGAGGACTATTTTGGCTTTACTGGTAGTTATTTTTTTGTTATCCTTTGTATAATTAAGTATTTGGATAGACATACCGTATTTTCTGTTTTATTTTGATAGGAGATATACGACGCTGTGTGAGCAAAAGTATGGCTTTACTTGTTTGAGTTGTGGAAAGTACAAAAAAAATTATCTTCTGCGATTCCACATGGTTTGAATATTTATAATTTACAAATTATTAACCCTGACCTTTTGTTTGTTGCAGGAACTGTATACTGTCTGATCTTACTTGTTTATCCTGCCTACGTGTGTTACAGGAACTGTAATTTTGGGTGTGTTACAGGAGCGTTCCAGTGCCTGGTGGAGGGGGGCGGGGACGTGGCGTTCCTGAAGCACACGACGGTGCCGGAGAACACGGACGGCAAGCGCAGGGACTGGTGGGCACGTAACCAACTTACAGCAGACTACCAGCTACTCTGCAGGGATGGTACCAGGCGACCAGTTACTGAGTACCTCGACTGCAACCTGGGCAAGGTGGGTACTAGGCAGCCTGGGACTGGGTGGGTACTAGGCAGCCTGGGACCGGGTGGGTACTAGGCAGCCTAGGACCGGGTGGGTACTAGGCAGCCTGGGACCGGGTGGGTACTAGGCAGCCTGGGACCGGGTAGGTACTAGGCAGCCTAGGACCGGGTGGGTACTAGGCAGCCTGGGACCAGGGGGGTACTAGACAGCCTGGGACCGGGTGGGTAATAGGCAGCCTGGGACCAAGGGGGTACTAGGCAGCCTGGGACCGGGTGGGTACTAGGCAGCCTGGGACCAGGTGAGTACCACTTTGATGTGGCATGCAGGCGGCAATAACGCGGTGTCTCTCGCCTACCGTGACCTGCACTCGCGCTGCCGGTGCCGCGCAGCAATCACTTGAATGGCTACGTGTGGAATGCGCCTGATGTGAACAAGGATGTTTCCCACTTTAAAAAATATTTGTCCACCACAGTTTCATGGCATCACAGATACAGATAATAATAATAATGATAACGTAATTCTGTTGCAGGTGCGAGCCAACGCGGTGGTGACTCGCGGTGGCTACGACTACAACGCGACGGAGGTGCAGACCTTCACGAACCTCTTCCTGTACGCCCAGCAGTTCTTCGGGCGCGACAGCGCGCACGAGTGGGAGTGAGTGAGGGGGGGAAGTGGGAGTGGGGCGAGGGGAGGAGATGTGAGTGGGGCGAGGGGAGTAGATGAGCATTGTACGAGGGGATGGGAGTGAATGGTCGAAGGGATGGGAGTGAGTGGGGTGAGGGATGGGAGAGAGTGGGCCGAAGGGATGGGAGTGAGTGGGCCGAAGGGATGGGAGTGAGTGGGCCGAAGGGATGGGAGTGAGTGAGCCGAGGAGACAGGAGTGAGTGGAAAGAAAGAAATGGGAGTGAGAGGGGCGAGGAGACAGGATTGAGTGGAAAGAAATAAATGGGAGTGAGTGGGGCGAGGATACGAGAGTGAGAGGAAAGAACGAAATGGAGTAAGAGAGAGTGGAGTGAGTATGTGAAATAGAGTTACTGCATGTAAAGCAGTTATTTGAGCAAGAGTGTGCACGAGTTATAATGAGTGGGCGAAAAGTAAGAGGGAATATTAGGATGAGGGTAGTGGATAAATGACAGTCGGCACTAATCAAGAAAAAAAGTAATAAAGCACAATCTGTTTCATAACAATCATCGATGTCATTTTTGATAATTTATGTAAGATTTAAAGACTAAACCTCGTCCTCAGTTTCCAGATGTTCAACTCAAAGGACCGCTACGCTGACGTCATCTTCCAGGACGCGACGCAACAACTGCTGCCACTGCCACCTGAGCTGCAGCACTACCACGCATACCTCGGTGGGTGTCACAGGGGCGCGTGTAGCAAGAATGTCATACCTCGGTGGATGCCACAGGGGCGCGTGTAGCATGAATGTCATACCTCGGTGGGTGCCGCTGGGGCGCGTGTAGCATGAATGTCATACCTCGGTGGGTGCCGCTGGGGCGCGTGTAGCATGAATGTCATATCTCGGTGGGTGCCACAGGGGCGCGTGTAGCATGAATGTCATCGTCATTACTTGTGAAGCTCCTGACCCCAAATCTGACTCATTATGAATAAATGCTATATATGCCTTGCTATTTATCAACACGGTGCTTTTTACCAAACATTTTTCAAACAAGACAAGTGAGGGAATGTGAGTTTTGCATGGCGACGTGCGAGCGCCGCTTAGTCACTTCCGTACAATTCTTGTTGCCCTGAAGCCCTCGCGTATAAATGAACGAGAAGACAGACGGCAACCACGATCAAACTAACGACCATAGCGTGTTGGTTACTTGTTCGTTGATATTTATTTTAATGTTGTTAATGTCTTTGATGTTATTAATGTTGTTTATGTTTTTGATGTTATTAATGTTGTTTATGTTTTTGATGTTATCAATGTTGTTCATGTTTTTGATGTTGTTAATGTTGTTTATGTTTTTGATGTTATTAATGTTGTTGTTGCTTGCAGGACGCGACTTCCTGAACGCGCGCTACCGTGTTGACTGCACGGCAGGCAGCATGAGAATGACGGCAACTGCACCTTTGGCAGTCTTAGCTCTGTCAGCTCTGTTGGTCCTCAGGCACTGACAGCCTTCTTGTCAATACGGCTGGATCTTGAGCCAAAGGCATCCTGTAATGCGCGTTGCCAGACTGAATGACTCAAAGACTGGTTACACCTCTTGATATCAGTCAAAGTGTCAATCCTGACTTAATTCATGCCCAAAAACCAGTTGCAATTCAACTCTATTGAGTGGCTCCTACGAAATCTTTTATTCAACTCAGTCTCGGATCTCATATACGCGGTTTTTCAATAATTATCGCCTCTAGCATCTTAAGTCACAAAATTTTTCTCGCGTGTGTCGAGGTGACGCGGATATCCGGGAAGTTTGCCACTCCAGTTGAGTCCATGCTTGAATTTTGTGACTCAATTGTGATTTTTTATCCCCAATATATCTTCTAAAAATTCGATTGACAGTTTGTATATTGTCTTATCTGTCCGTCCATTCATGCGCTTGACATTCAAATGTCTTCCACATGTAAATTTAAGCGTACTTGGTGCCTAGTGCTAATTAATTAGTTACCGAGTTATAAAGTATGTTAATCATTGACTATAAGATTACTTTCCCCGAGTGTAAGCCGATATTGTTCACACTCTTTGTTCACAATGCAAGGTATTCCTGTTAATTTGATGCCTCGTTAATAATGTCCACGTATCTTCGGCCAGGCTTCTCAATATTTTAGTTCTGATTTTAAACATTTTTTTATAAACGAATCAATTTAAATTGATTTTTAGTGTTACGAATATTTGTCTTGTTAAATTTTGTATGGTTTGATCCATCAATCTTGTATGTCATCGGTTGATGTCAGGCCGAAAATAACGCGCCTCTCAAAGCTGGCCTGCAATCTGTAAAACTTTAATTCAATATTACTCATAAGCTCGTTCGCTGCACATACAAGCTATTCATTCCTCGTTCACGTCAAGTTTCGCGTTCATTTTGAGTTGAATGACTCATTCACACATTCGTTTCAATGTGCGCTGTCTCCGCACTTATGTTCATTGAATGTTATTGTAAGATAAAAGCGTATTTAAATATACATTTTATATAGGCTCCGTAACTAGGGCAGGTGTGTGACTAGCGACCAGTATACATCACTAGTTGAAGAGGAGTTGCATTCTACTGACTAGAGGATGACTGTCACTATCTAATGGTTGGTCGTGATGGTAGCCTATCTTTCAGTGATAGGTTAGTGGTAATCTCTTACCTGTAGCTAATTGTGCACCAAGTTCAGTCCACTGGCGCCAAGCTCTGTCCACTGGCGCCAAGCTCCGTCCACTGGCGCCAATCTCCGTCCACTAGCGATAAGCTCTGTCCACTGGCGCCAAGCTCTGTCCACTGGCGCCAAGCTCTGTCCACTGTCGCCAAGCTCTGTCCACTGGCGCCAAGCTCTGTCCACTGTCGCCAAGCTCTGTCCACTGGCGCCAAGCTCTGTCCACTGGCGCCAAGCTCCGTCCACTGGCGCCAATCTCCGTCCACTAGCGCCAAGCTCCGTCCACTAGCGCCAAGCTCAGTCCACTGGCGCCAAGCTCCGTCCACTAGCGCCAAGCTCCGTCCACTGGTGCCAAGCTCCGTCCACTGGCGCCAAGCTCCGTCCACTGGCGCCAAACTCCGTCCACTAGCGCCAATCTCCGTCCACTAGCGCCAAGCTCCGTCCACTGGCACAATATTCCGTCCACTAGCTCTAAGGCCTAGCGTTAAGTCCTAATTCTAGCCCATTTATTACCCAGATCTGTTAGGAACTCTAGGATGAAGCTATCCCTGTAGGCTAAGATAACCTTCTCATGGGCTACCGACTCCTATGTGTATATTTTAATCTCATTGTGTAGTCCAAAACGTTAATATTCTTGAAATTAAATACCGGAGTTGATTTTTGTCCACTAATTATAATTATCCCTTCATGTGAAATTTTTTCTCATACTTTGAATGGTAGACTTTATTTGCTAAATACCCCCTTCTCTACACATACCTGTCAGGTATTTATTCCTCAATGTAATTCATACCTGAACCCAGCATTAAATAATAATTCTATGTACTTAAAATTGTGTTTTATTTATTGCCTTATACGCTATTTCTATCCGGGGTAATTGCTACAGTGCTATCCCTGCTTGAGAGCTAAATTTACAATTAAGTAATTTACAAAATTTACAAAAAAATTTACAAGCGATCATTCACTGCATACGGTGCCACCGCGACCTCGGCTGCTAATGCGCCGAGATGGGATCAGTAATGGAAAAATAGCGCAACAATAATTATAATGGTAGCAATAGCTACTATTATAATATATATAAGCTACCTTCTCTCACCTCACCAGCCACTCCTTTCTCTTCCTCTCACTGCCCCTCCCTTTACGTCCCACTCCTGCCTCCCTCTCCCCTCCTCCCGCCCTCCCATGTCGTCTGCTGATCAATACGAGAGTTCACCTTCTGGCTGTGACGTCGCACTTTCTTCCTTTGTCGTGCTTCTTGTTCCTCTTCAAGTTTCATCCGTTGAACAAAGACATGATCATTAATTCTGTTCATCTTCTCACGTTTCTTTGTGTCTTGCCGTTAGATCGCACGAGACAAATTAATTACCAAATATTTCTTCTGCAACGCAGCCTAATTCAAGTCACTTTGTGTTTTCAAGGAATCATTTAAAATAATTTTTATTTATAATTGTCAGCAGTATGTTTACACGAACTGTGTTTCAATTGCCATTTTTTAATTTGCGTACGACAGTTTGTCCCGAAACGCAACACGACCTCTCCTTTTTATGACTGGCTGACGTACAATATCTTAGAAGGGCATGTATTTGTTCTCTCGTTTTATACATATTCTTATATCTACTCTGTAGAGCATACACTAATCAACTCATATTGTTAAACAATTGCAAAATTGGTATAATTTTCATCATTAACGTAAAGTTTTCATCCGAAAAATGTACTGTGAGAACATTAAACGAACTGCAATATCCTAGGGATGAAGGACAAAACTTCCGTCCTGCAGTTCCGTCAGTCAGTTTAGCGCCGGTGGCGCTCCTAGTAGGATGTAGTTATGGTCCGTTCCGACAACAGTGCCATTGATACCTGCTGCCATGCCAGACACTGTAAATCAACTTCGCATGATAATAGATTTGAAGACATTAATTGAGCGTTAAATGACGTACACAGTGGGATGAAGTACAGCTTTGCATAAAGTTCTTCAGACAAGAAAATCACTTTAACTTTGAGCCTCACAAGCGTCGCATTTTGAAGGTTAAGTAACGCGTGTTGCTCACACAATGTTTATTTCGATCTCTTATTGAAACTTGACACTTCTACCGTAGGTTAAATGTCAGTGATTCATAACGTATTAATGAAGTTCCTCTCTCAGGTCACACAATGATTTTTTAACATGATCCATTCATCTGTCTTATGTATTTTCTCCGCAGGATTTTTCTAGAAATGCGAAGAAAGCGGGCAACTTAAGTAGCATTACTTACGAAGTTACGAGCGTGGTAGAAGTTGCTAGCCGCGCTAGAGTTCCGTCATGCTCACAATTCAACGTGTAATTCTCTATTTGACAATGACAGCCATGTCGTATTTTGCTCAAAACATTAGGTTTTCATCTATGCCTTAAAAACTGTAGTTTTAAAAATAGTTTGCAAAAAGCTCGCAAAATTCCATCCTTTTAGCCTTCAAAATATTTTCAATTGAAGTCTGCTGTGTTCACATTTTAACAACGAGGTCTATATTTGAGTTTAAATCTACGGTGTTTAACGCCAGAGTTACGTTATTAACCATAAAGTGTACAAAGAATGTTAAAATTATCTGACAAAAGTTTCATTTTATTGTGCTAGATGCAACATTATTCGCCTCTTGTTTACTCCCGTGGCTTATTGCCGAAGTTTAATATATTAAGCGTACTCCATTAACTTCTTGAATCTTTGGTATGTTCTACGGCTGTTCTATTTACGCCCATTCTCGTTTCCTCAACTTGTATTGTATTCACAAAAAGTGATAGGTTAAACTCAATAATTAATTACGACTTTTCCCTTTTTACCAATAATAAACAGTACCTGCAGTCAATAGTCCAGTAACAAGTGTTCAGAAATATTCACCTTCATTCTATCTATTCCTAAATCGGCGGTTGTGAAAGTTTTTAATTTTTTATTTAATTATATTATATATAAAGTCTATGACAGTGACAGCTTTTATTACATCCACACGAAAGTCAAAATTGGTTAATGATTACACCCTTCATTCTATCTGCCTCAATTTTTATAGTTTTTGTCCTATCCAAAATAAATTATATATACTGCAAAGCTGCACCAAGTTTTAACGTACCTTGAAGTCTACGGTTTTTACATCCAATATTTTAATAACACAAAAATCTACGGCATTTGCAGCCAGTATTCTATTAACAATAATGTCACTGTTATTTCTTATTATTTTTAAAATGTAACGTCAGTTTTATACTATTTTAACGGACGTTAATTCTTCATTGCTTGTTCAATTCACTTTTTACCGAGAAATTTCTCTCTTAGAATATATTTGACTGGAATCAATTCAGATAAACTTTTCTCAATTTTATCGCGGTAACTTCTTTACCCTCACTTGTCATTTATACGAAATGTTCACATAAAATAAAGTATCGAGCGTAATTTTCTCGCTTAATTCGTAACGCACGATGTATTAAATAAATCGTAACGCACGATTTATTTGAAAATTCGTAATTTTCTCGCTTAATTAATTAAGTGTGCGTTTTCCTGGCATAATTTGTTAAGAGGAAGTTTGCGTGTCGTGCAACCCTGTCTCCTTCCCTCACCCCTGCAGAGGCAGCATGGGGGTGCGGGGGTTGCAGAGCTACCTTGAGAGCCACTGCAGTGCGGCGTGCTACAACGTCAACCTGGGCAAGGTGCGTACTTTGTAATGTGTACTTTACGTACAATGTACTGTGTTCCTTCTACGTACCCTGTACTGTGTACCTTTGTGTACCCTGTCCTTTGCACCTTTGTGTACGCGGTCCTGTGTACCTATGTGTACTATGTACCATGTATACTCTTCTTGAATGTATCTTGTGTGTTGTATATACTTTCTGTATAACCTCAAGAGCTGTGGTTGTCAGATTCATTTGATTATTGGGGCACATTCGAATAAAAGGAAACAAACCCCGACACACACCTTACGACAACCGAAATGAAGTCTTACAAAGCCACTCAGCAGCCACTCGGACTCTCATGTACATTTATTTATAAATCCACGGTGTTTACCGCCACATGTCCATCGAGTGTGATACATAGACCCTCCTGTCCATCGAGTGTGATACATAGGCCTTCCTGTCCTCCAGCTGTCCGCCGAGTACCAGCGGCGGACCAAGAAGACACCCCTGATCGTAGTGGACGGGATGTCGTGCCTGCGTAAGATGTACGGCAAACTCAACTGGGTGTGTGGGGGGCAGTGGCTCGGCTACATCGACCACATCAAGAACTTCGTCAAGAGCTTGCAGGGCCACAACTACAAACTCGTCTTTTTCTTCGACGGCAACACCCCGGTATTTGCTGCGTACTGTGCAATATAATGTGTAATGTACTGTATAATATACTGTGCAATAGATGGTGTCATGCGCTGTGACTTGCGCTGTGCTGGAGTGGGCGTACTTCACTAGGCTCCATTTGAGCTCGGTTTTTTTATCTGCTCACGTGGCTTGCCTGACGCATGTTACGTCGATGTAAGCGTGTTTTCGACCGGGGACTATATTGTGGCTTTTGTTTTGGCGTTCGCTATATTCAGCTTCCAGTTGACTGTGCCTTAAATCTGACTGTGGGCGCCCGTTACTGTTCCGACAGCGATCGGTCATCTTATTTTGTTTGATCATCTTGGTTTGAATCTAAAGGTGGCTGGAGCGGGCTTATCGCCAGATTCTGTCTTCGTCCCGGATTTTTCTTGCTACTCATCTTGCTTGCTTGACGCAAACTACGTCACGTAAGTTTGCTTTTAAATAAGAGGAATATATTGTGAGTATTCGTTTTGCCGTTCGATATATTCAGCTTCGAGCTGACTGTAGACGTGCGTCACTGTTTTATGATCCAAGCTGAATCTGGCTGCTATTCATGGCGTCGTTGGCTTACTCGGCGAAACGACTGCTTAACCTACGGTCGACTGCTGCAGACCTTGATCCATCGGTCTGTGAGAAGTAGATTTACTCATTGTGCCGTCGCCCATGCCTCGCATGTTTTATTGCGGATGTCCTGTCGGCTGAAGTAGGCGTTATTTTTATCCGTTTTCATCTTTTCTCGTGTTTATTTATTTTTGGCTTGCTATTAAACTTATGTGGAACGTGCCCGCGAAGTTCGTTCGAGCCAGACACTACGATAACTGCTTCGTAAATCGTAGAATAATAATAAGGTACGAGTTCGGAACTGCATCAACAATTCACTGACGGCTTTTAGTAACACTCATCAGAAAAGTCAAAAGCAACACAAGTCGTGGCATGACATTACGCAATTTTCTCCGAACGACTTGGAACTCCTGCGGTTTAATAGCGTCACCGGCCCACTTACCGCACTAGATAAAGCCCGCATTAGTCTCCCTGACTTTGTATCCTAAGTTTGTGAGGGCGGGGATGACAAGCCGTATTAAACTGACTTAGGTGGGCGATGTCGCCCACGCATGTTAAGCCATGACCATGACCCACTTCTGTAATACCCACCTTATTTCTTATCTGATGCATCCAATGTTAGTATTCGTGGCATCTTTCGGAATAGGGAAGAGGCCCGTGCAGTGTGCATACTACGAGCGTTAGAAAAGTTCAGTCAATTCTTTACGTGAACGTCACCAGGTTACGATGTAGAGATCCTACACTTTGCAGATTAGGATTACGATTCGCCTACGCTTAGCAGTGCAGGAAGAAAAGGATGGCTTATACTATTTACACTGCAATTTCCCCCCCTCGTCAGGACGTAATGCTAGTCTCCCTCCACTCCCCCAGAGAAGAAAGCGGGAGACGTGGATCCACCGCCGAGTGGAGAACCTCAAGGACGTCACCAACTTCTTCCTCCTCATCAAGATGAACAAGGAGCTGGAGCACGGCAAGCACTTCTTCCTGCCCACCGGCCTCGCCGCCTTCACCCCACTCATCTTCAAGGTGGGTTACTTCACCCCACTCATGATCAAGGTGGGTGTCATCTACCCACTCATGTTCAAGGTAGGTTACTTCACCCCACTTATCTTCAAGGTGGGTTACTTCACCCCACTCATCTTCAAGGTGGGTGTCATCTACCCACTCATGTTCAAGGTGGGTTACTTCACCCCACTCATCTTCAAAGTCTTTAAATGATTTAGGAGCATGCAGATAAGTGCAACGAGTCAACGGTTCAAACCTCAGCAAGCTGTAAATATTCTGCGATGTCGCTAGCTGGCGGTGCTTACAGCGTTACCGTGATAGCCCGAGTATCTGTTGTCAGTATTACTTCTGATACCAATTACCTATTGAATTACCAACATGCATTTTTAATTATAGGCGCATCATCCCCTGCAGGTAACGACGTCATCCACCAGGAGCAGCTGCTGAACTTCCACAAGATGATCCTGTCGTCGAGCTACTTCCAGGGGCGCACGTCCCTGCGTCTGCCCCCCGAGGTGCTCATCCCGCGGGTGGCCAACTTCATCCAGAACCAGCCTCCCATGAGCCAGCTGCAGCACCAGCTGCCCCAGCTTGCCAGGTACTACACAACTAAAACATTTAGTCTCTCTTTGGTTTTTCTTCCAAGGATACGTGAATGTTCCAGATATGTATAAATTTCCTTTTTGGTCAAAACTGCACAACTTAAACATTTAGGCTTTCTTTGGTTTTTAAAAGGATAAGTGAATGTTCTAGAGATGTATACAATTTTTTTGTGTTAAAAAAGTTAAGCATACTCCACGTTAATTCTCTACCGACTGACATGAGTAACCGGAGCAATATTTTCACGCGTCTACTTCCCAAAAAGGATAGGTTCTAGTGAGCGCAAAATGACTTGCACTGATGGTTGCCGCCACGTACGACAACTTTAAAATGTTCTCTGTTGCGTACAAACGTCCTCAGGTTGCTACACTCAATTGTTTACGTATAATTCAAGTTGAAAGTTATGTTCCCGGAGAGTGACATACGGCGGTAGAGGGCTAAGATTTATTGTAATTTTATGAAACATCTTATTCAATTTCATTTTTTTATAAAATTTTAAGTTATGCCCTCCCATTGCAGGGCGGTGTTCCGGGACGAGGGTATGGTGCCCTCGCTGGTAGAGGGTCTCAAGATGTACCAGTTGGACATATCTGGTCCTGACCAGTACCAGCCCATCAGTGAAGAGACCATCAAGCAGGTCAGCGGTTATATGGTACCATTAATGATACTAGTCCCAATGGTAGCATCACTACCGTTGTTGGTTACTCGTATTAATTTAATATCGATCAACCAACGACATTTGAATCACCGATAACTCAGACAGAGTAGTTAAAGGTCATAATTTAATTTTTGGGGCGTGCCACAGTGTTGATATAAGTTACAAAGAGGTTTCCCGCGACTCAGAATCCTCATACAAATGTTGTACACTACAAATAAAGACCATTTCTAATTTGTCCAGAGAACATTATGATGAAATTCAGGAGCCACACAAATTGGCTGTAATGGCATACGCTGGATGCGAGCACACGCTCTGGCGAGGCGCTTTGTATTATGGTAGCGCGCACTATACTTCTGCAGCGTCGCACTTCAAGAAAGCAGGCCGGCAAATTGCCATACGCAGGCTGGTAAATTTCCCCACGCAGGCTGGCAAATTTCCCCACGCAGGCTGGCCAATTTCCCCACGCAGGCTGGCCAATTTCCCCACGCAGGATGCCAAATTTTCCCGCTCGTTAATTTTGCCCAAGTGACCTCAACGGCGAACGGCGGGGAGGGAGTGACAGCAGCCGCTAAATAGTTGCTGAGTTTTCTATGGTGAAGTAATACGATATTCAATTAGGTTTTTCTATTATTAATTCATTTATTGAATGGTGTTGATCTCATTCATCAGGAAAGCTATAATCAATGCGAACGCTTAAGATTTGTTCGCTCGATTGCAGGTTAAAAATTTATATGTTCGATTACAGGCTTTGCCAGAAAAAGTTTCCTGATCTATATTGTTAATTTGTATACTAATGTGTATAATTATGCTTCTATCTCGACGACTCGCTATCACAAGCCCGTCCTCTAACCTTATGTCCTAAATAACTATGCATTGAAGTAACCATGCTCGCTACCACTAGTCCTTGCTCTAACCTACCTGCCTGGTAGGTCGACGGTCATGTCTAATTAACCTTCCTCTAACCATACCTGGTTTGCTACCTGCCATTGTTCTGATGGTACTTGAGCTGTGATAATCTGTGAGGTGGTAATCCGTGGTGGTAATCTGTGGTGGTAATCTGTGGTGGTAATCTGTGATGTAGTAATCTGTGGTGGTAATCTGTGGTGGTAATCTGTGGTGGTAATCTGTGATGTAGTAATCTGTGGTGGTAATCTGCGGTGGTAATCTGTGGTGGTAATCTGTGATGTAAGGAAGCCTGGAATTATCCTTGTTGCACGTCTTTGAACATTCTCTATTAAATTTCTGTCCTTTTCGAATCTCGGTGACCACACAACGTTTCCAAACTCTAGACTCGGGCGTACGACGGCAACAAACAACTGCTTCATCGTTTCTGCATCTAGGAACTCGTATGAGCGTCTGATTAGTCCAAGAAGTTTGTTGGATGTGTTAGCTTGCGTTTCAACATGCTTAGAAAATTTCAGCTCCTTGTCGACATAAACTCCGAGATCTTTTTCCACACTAGACTTTTCAATCATTACTCTCTCGTTGCAACCATGTCTTCTCATACTGTAATCTT